GCCTAAGGTCACTCCCAGACGGAGTCAAAAGTAAATGGGAGAACCCCAGGAACTAATTGAAACACCAACTCGGTTCCGATCGAGGGTGCTGCAATGTTTTCACAAGACGCGTTCTCGCGCAGTTTCGGGCCACGGGGCCTCACCTTTCGGTCCAGGGTTCGGTGGCAGTTTTTGCAGTGTTGCACGTCGTTGGCAACGGAAGGAAGAGCGGGAGCGGCTTCAGAGCTCCGGAGCGGCACCACCGCTCCTGAGATGCATCGGTCCCGAGCGGAGCCATCGCTGCTAGGCAGGACCAGGCCCAGGACCCCTCGCCTCGAGGATCCATTTCTAAAAGTTTCGCAGGGCCCTTAGGACTCGGCAGCGTCCAACCGATCCCCATTCCCATCCCCACTTGGGCCACTGAATCTCAGCCCTGCCGCCGAGCCCCCAGGTGGGGGTAATCGGATCCCGCGGAACCCGGAGGGAACTACACGTATGAGTCCAGGTCTTGGATGTCCCCCCCCAAAGGGTGGGATGGGATGGGATGGGACGGGATGGGTCTGCTGGAACGCGGGAGGGACGACGGCGGCGACGACGACCACGCCACGACCACAGGGGAGGGGGTCCCATCGCGGGGGGGGGGGTCCCGAAGACATCAGCCTGAGAGAGGGGGGGGAACCCAGAGTCTGGGATCATGTCACCACCTGGGGGCAAGCCAGTCAGTGGGGCCAAGGCCATTCCAGTGGTGATTCGGATCGTCCAAACTATGCTCAAAAGCCCCTTCCAGGATCCCGCTCCACTTCGTCCGAATGTCATTCCTTCTGTTTCATTTGTTGTCTGAATTTCGTGTCGTCCGCTTCGACTCGTTCGACACGACCCGTCTGGACGAGACGAGAGAGGACGAAGAGGACGGGACAAAACGAAACAGATGGAAACGACAGCGGACGCAATGAGAGCGGTGGAGGAGGAGGAGGAGGAGGAGGAGGAGGAGGAGGAGGAGGAGGAGGAGGAGGAGGAGGAGGAGGAGGAGGAGGAGGAGGGGGGGGGAGGAGCGACCGTTCTCCCCACCGGGTCCCGCCCCCCGTCACGCCGGGCCGTGGCTCTCCCCGAGCACGGCGGCGGGGCCCCGCCCGCGTTCTGCGCCGCCGCGCTAGCCGCCGCGCGGCCTTCCCTTCCAGGGCGGTGCCAAAGTTGGGGCCTCGAGCTGGGTCGGGCGGGCCTTCCTTCAGGCGGATTTTGGACGAACAAGAAGAAAGGGTGAGCAAATCATCAAAATACTACTCAAAAATAGAAGCAGGGCGGTCGTCGTTCCTCCAGGGCGGGGGAGTGTCTGGGCCCTCCTCCTCCTCCTCCTCCTCCTCCCTCCTCCTCCTCTTCCTCCTCGCCTCCTCCTCCTCCTCCTCCTTCACCTCCTCCTCCTCCTCCTCCTCCTCCTCCTCCCTCCTTTCGGGCACTCCAGGGACCATGTAGACTCCTCCGACTCGACTCGATTCGATGCGATTTCGACCGATTCCGATCCGATTCGACTTCGGATTCGGATTTGGGCGTCGGTCTCTCAGAAGTGGCCTTACTAGCCTGCCGATTCCTGCCGATTCGACTTCCTCCCGACAGTGCTGCCGATTTCCGCCGATCCGATTCCTTGCGATCGCTGATCCGACTCATCCACTCGATTCTGGGCTCTCCTGCCCCTCCGAGGTCGCGGTGCGACCCGACGCCAGCGCCTCCCACGGCGGCGCCCGCGGTCCCGGCGGGCCTCGCGGGCGCGGCTGGGCCCAGGCGCGTGCGTTGAGGCAAATGCGCGGTCGAGCTGCCGCACCGTGCCCCGGAGTCCTGGCGTCGCGCTGCCTTCGCGCTGAGCGGGGCCGCCCCGTCTCGGGCCCCGGGGCCCGCACGGACCGCTCCGCCTCGGAAGATGCCGCAGAGGGATGGGGCCGGCGCCTCCGGTCGCGAGGTCGAGATCTTTTGGGGGGGCCACATCGCGAAAACAGTGCGTCGTCAGAGAGGAGAGGGCGGGGAGGCGCCGCTCACGGGGCGGGGATAGCACGGGGACCGAGGGGGGTGTGTGAGGACCAGAAGGGACGAGGACCAGGTGCCCGGATGCGGGGGCAGGCAAAATATGCTCCATGCCGCCCAGATGGGGCCATGGTGGGCAGGGTCGAGGGATCACGCCGATGCACTGCAGATGTGTAGGCCATGCGGCGCGATTTCCCAGCCCACTGCTCCGGCCCGATCTGGGCGGTCCCCCGAGATGCGTCTCGCGCGGACTCCAGCAGCGAGGGCCATCGGATATCCCGTAATTCCTGGAACCAGCGTAGCCTGAGCCAGTCGCATCGATGATGACGATGACGATGACGATGGCAATCACCATGACGATGCCGATGTCGATGACGATGATGACGTCATCACCGTCATCGTCATGCCATCGACATCACCCTCGTTCTGACAACTGCCCCGTCCCCACCTGCTACGGCCCACCCTGCTGCTGATGGCTGTTGCTGCTGCTGATCCTGCTCGCCCTGCCCCTTCCCCTCCTCCGTTGGGGGAAAACAAGTGCGGTCAAGACGCTGCAATGATGGCAAGAGTAGGCTCATGAGGGGCTTTGTGTTTCGGGCCGCTCCTTAGGTCTAGGTTGGGGGATCTACGTGAGGCCGAGTTGCTCGCATTATTCAGCCATCCCTATGGTAGCGCGATGGCTGCATTCGGAAACGACGAGCCGCCGCGAGCGGGCCCGAGCCAGGCACTCCCCACAGAAGGGGGTGGCTCTGGTGGCCCTGGAGACGGAGACGGTCGCGATCGAGGATCAGGGTGGGGCGGAGAAGACCCCGGTCTCGGGCGATGGTGGCAAGAGTAGCCGAGGCCTGCACTTGTCCTGGCCAGGCCAATCCAGGGTCCAGGGCTTGTGTGTGTGCGTGCCGTCGTGGCCAAGCCAGGAGGGCGCTGCTGGATGCTGGTCCTGCTGCTCTTTCTGCTCATTCTCCTGCCTGCGTCAAGGAGCACCTCCTGCACTTCCTCCTGCTCTGCTGATCTTCGTGCTCGTCCCCCTGCCCACATCAAGCTGCTCCTCCTGCTCTCCAGCGTCCTCCTGCTCTTCACCCGTCGAAGAGCACGCGCAAGCGGGAATGCGTTCGCGCCGCTTGGGTGCACGGGTCGGGGCCCGCCAGCTTGGCACACCAGACTGTGGTCGGGGCCCGGGCCCCGCTTTGGCACGGCAGATCTGCCACACACCAAGAGCACGCCTCCCTGGGCGCCCACCTCTGTGTACGATGGTGCAGGCCTGGCCGGTGGCAACACCTGCATAGCTGTACCTCTCACCTCTCTGTGTGTTGCCCTTAAGGCGCACTCTCCTCTGGGGGGGCACCCCGACGCATAGTGCGGGCGTTGTCCCCAGGGGGTGGGCATATGCGGACAGGCTCATTGGTACGATCACCCCATTTTCATCCCCCCCAACTCAATATGTATCCAGGGACGCCCCCGATCCATCTGCAACCAGCGACGGCATCAACGTATCCGTCCGGTGCGAACGTTGACAAGAAAAGGCGCGCGATCCCCGCGGGAAAAAGTGAAACCGCGGCGTCGCGCGCCCCATGGAGCCCGCGTGGTGGATCCTGCGCCGACGAATGTCGGGCGAGTTGAGAGCGTATGTGGTTCAGTGTACACAATCCGCGCTGCGTCACCCCACCACTTCGAACGCTGGGGTTGAATCGATCTCGCCTCTTTAGCATCCACGATGAATGTTGATCTCACACGATGAACGATGAACGGTCCATCCTGGCTAATTCTGAGTGGATGATGGTTAATCATCGTGAAATCGTGTCGATCCTGGTTACTCATGAACGATTGTTCCTGATTATGGCGAGTTATGGTTAAGTCAGATCGTGGCGAATTTTGGTTTCTGCTTTTAAATTCAAAACGGAATTCCGTATAGGGCCCACCGCAAACTTTTCTCCCCGCCCGCCACGGCCGCGCCACAATTCACCGCAACACAAGATGCAACAATGAATGTCACAGTCGGATGGCTGATTTCGCATTGGTCACGGACGGGTTTTGGACCGTCTTCGGGTGGGCTCTAATCTCTCCGCTTCGTGAGGGAGGTGGCCCCGACCACCGAGAGGGGCGCTGGGCAATTTTGATGGATCGCTGGTGGTTCTGGTCCATTTTCGCTGACTACTGGTAATTTGGATTGATGGACTAACTTTTGTTACGTACGGTTACCTCTTGTTAATTATGGTTCAGGTTGTTTCCTTATTTTTACTTGCGGCTCGTTTGTTTCATTATGTTTAGCTGTATTTAGCTTTTGCGCAAATATTGGCAAATTGTTGGTTCATTGTTGCAAAATCGGTTAATGCTCGCAAGGCGCATCTCGGGTTGGGTCGTCGAGCATAGTGTATCTCATGGAGTGCTAGAGTTAGGTGGGTCCCTCATGGCCGGGAAAAATGTGACGTGCAACGTCCCCGCCGTACTAGGCACTGTGCGTTCCGGAATATACAGCCGTAACAGACGGAACTGAAAATTTCCAATCCGGGTGTCCCGGGCGGACCAGTCAATCACCGCCCACCAAACCACCCCAACCCAACCCGAAGGCCCCGATTTTCCCTCCGTTTCCAGGGGGGGGGAGCATTGGAAAACCACATATGTAGCCCGTACCCCCCCAACCCAAAATTCGGGTCTTCGGGTCGGGTTGGGGTGATATGGTGGGTGGTCAATCAGAGATGCTCGTAACACATGTGCGTGTCGGGCGTGCGCCCCGCAGCGGATCTCATAGCCCTGGCATGTCCTCCGGCGTCCCCGGGCGGCCCTCGCCGCGCCGCGCGTGCGCCCATGGGGGCCGGGCGGCTGGACGCCCCCCCCTTCCCCACCCGCCCACTCTTCGGGCGTTGCGTGATGGGTGGGCGATGAGGGGGGGGGGGGGGCACGAAACGCACGCGTTTCTCCCCCGCCCCCCCCCCCGAAGAAGAAGAAAAAGAAGAATAAGAAGAGTCATTAAGCATAAGCTTGTGGCGCTCCGCGCGGGGTTCTTGGCTCCGCGTTGGGGCCCCCTGGCGGCACCTCCGGCGACGCCCCTGACGCGTTCTGCGCGCCAGTGAGGGGGGGGCCAGCGCGGATCCGAGAAATCTGCGCGGAGCTCCAAAAGTTTATGTTTATGGCTTTGGTTCTTCTTTTACCCCCTGGCGTTGCCTGATGGGTGGGCGATAAATGGGGTCGGTGAGACGTTGATTCGATAGGTTGGCGTCGAACCCGAACCCCAGGAAGCAGTTAAGAACCCCCCCTCATCAGGCGAAAGTATAACGCATCTGGCACCCTGGAAGCGTCACCTCGGCACCGGAGGAGCCCGCAGAGAGCATTCGGGGCCAAGCTAAGCCTTGCTGAGCCCTGCTAGCTCCCGCTAAGCCCTGCTAAGCAATGATAAGCCAGGCTCGCCTCCTGCCGAGCCCTGCTAAGCCCTGCTAAGCCCATGCCAAGCCTTGCTATCCCCTGCTGAGCGCTGCTAAGCCCTGCTATCCCCTGCTGAGCCTTGCTAAGCCCTGTTCGCCCCACTAAGCTCTACTGAGCCCCCTGCTAAGCAATGCTAAGCCCTGCTCGCCCTCTGCTGAGCCCTGCTCGCCCCTGCTAAGTCAAGCCTTGCTAATCCCCGCTGAGTCCTAGGAAATGCACAGCATATCCGAAGGCATCCCCAAGGATCTCTTCTTGCGCGTCGCGCGGCGCGTGACGCGCCACGGAATATATTGTTTGATGTTGCGCGATGCTAAAGATATTGCTCTGCGAAAACGGCCCCCCTGGAAATATTAAATCTTGGTGCGGTGCTAACGATAACCCCGGGGGGGGTTCTTAAAGGCTTCCTCGGGTTATTTTTTCGCCAAAGCATCACGTAGTTCATTAGTTCAGAGTTCGGCATCGAACTGCCAACTACTAGTTCGAATTCGAGGCCGAACTCTGGACTGAACAGCTCTTAGAGTCAAAGTTCGAGCGGTGGCACGAAAGGTACATGTTTCCCCCCCGCCCCCCTCCCACCGACCGCCCTCCCATGAAGCAGCATTTCGTCGGGCCTGTCCCTCTACAGGAGGAATATTCAAAGATAGTTTTAACAGTAGTCGGGGGACGGTTTTCCGACCCGGTTTGATGATTTTTTTTTTTCTTTTTTTTTTTTAGAATTTTGAATTTGTTGCCCAATATCCGCGTCGGGGGACATGCCCGACCTAAAAGCAGCGCCCGACTTCCACGGCCCAGGTGCCCCCCGCCGGCCAACGCCCCCAGGCTGGAGCAGCCTCCCGCGGACGCCCGGCCAGGGCCGAAAGCGCCCGCTGCGCCCAGCCATTCGAGGGGGAGGAGGGGGAGGAGAGGGAGGAGGAGGCGGAGGAGGCGGAGGACGAGGCGGAGGAGGAGGAGGAGGAGGAGGAGGAGGAGGAGGAGGCGGCGGAGGCGGCGGAGGAGGCGGAGGCGGAGGCGGCGGGGGAGGGAGGGCGGAGAGCGGGCGGAGGAGGAGGAGGAGGAGGAGGAGGAGGAGGGGGGAGGAGGAGGAGGGGTAAGAGGAGGAGGGAGGAGGAGGAGAGGAGGGAGGAGGAGGAGGAGGAGGAGGAGGAGGAGGAGGAGGAGGAGGAGGAGGAGGAGGAGGAGGAGGAGGAGGGAGGAGGAGGAGGGAGGAGGAGGAGGAGAAGGAGGAGAAGGAGGAGGAGGAGGAGGCGGAGGAGGAGGAGGAGAGAAGGAGGAGGAGGAGGAGGAGCGGGAGGAGCAGGCGGAGGCGGAGGCGGCGGAGGATGAGGAGGAGAAGGATGAGGAGGAGGAGGAGGAGGGAGGAGGAGAGGAGGAGAGAGGCGGAGGCGGAGGAGGCGGAGGCGGAGGCGGAGGAGGAGGCGGAGGAGGAGGCGGAGGAGGCGGAAGAGACGGAGGAGGAGGAGGCGGAGGAGGCTGAGGAGGCGGAGGCGGCGGAGGGGGAGAGGGAAGCGGAGGAGGAGGTGGCGGAGGAGGCGGAGGAGAGGGGGGAGGGAGGAGGAGGAGGAGGAGGAGGAGGAGGAGGAGGAGGAGGAGGAGAAGGAGGTTCTCATCATTTTCGGCGCGATTCGGTCCCAGAGTTTCCAGACCCCCTCGGCCCTGAACAAAGATCAGCCAGCGTTGACTCCAAATAGACTAGACGACTCAAATCAAGGAATCAGAGGAATCAAGCATGCTTGGAATCCGCAACTCAGCCAGCAAGCAAGAATGCAAGCAAGCAAGCAAGCAAGCAAGCAAGCAAGCAAGCGTGCAAGCAAGCAAGCAAGCAGGCATAGGTGGCATAGGCGTACAGTCGGCCCAGATTAGTAGGTCGACCCTGCCAAATCAAGGCTACCCTGGTGTCCTGTGTCTCGCGACCCATGCTTCCTACATTCCTGTGGCAGTGTGGCCCTCGGAAGTGTCTTGTGTCCTCTCGCGTGTCCTCGCCAATCATGTCCGAGTGTAGGCATAGGAATTAGGGGGGAGGCATAGGCATAGGCATAGGCATAGCCATAGGAAGTAGGGGGGCCATATAGGAAATGCGTGTGTGTGTGTGTGTGTGTGTGTGTGTGTGTGTGTGTGTGTGTGTGTGGGGGGGGGGGGCAACGCCCCCCCCCCCCCCCCCCAGGTGCGGACATATGCAGTCTCCGGTGGGTTTCGTTGCGTCCATCCCCTCCTCGAGGGGGAGCGCTGCTGGCGTGGTGGGCCCAGCGAAGCCCGGCGTGAACAATAGTATCACGCTAGGACCTCGGGGCAGGTCCGACGACGCGGAGGGGCCTTCCAGACGGCTGACCCAACGCACGGCATGAGAATCCTCGGCTGACCCACCCAGCGCCCGAGGCGCCCAAACCTTGGCTGACCCATCCAATTCCTTAGGAAGGAAGGGCCCCTCAGTGCGAGCACTGTTTTGGAGAAGTTTGCTCCAATTTCGTGTACCGAAAGTGAATTCAGTTCCGGTGGGCTGGATGCACAAACAGCAAACAACACGTGGCAGACCGGCACACAAACCCGTCAAACGGTGGATCGATGGCATTGTCGTTCTTTTGCGTGGTAAGGTCTGGATATGTTCAGCCAACGGGAGAGAGATTGTGTTGGCCTCCGGCCAGTGCCGCCGATCCTGGGGGCTCCCCGCTGTTGTTGGCAGCAGTCCTGTGCGTTCCTTCTCCTTACCCCCTGCCTGTCATTTCTTTCCTCCCCTTTCGTTCCTCCCCCCCACATCCTTTTTCCGTATTACTTTCTCCTCTTTTCTTTGCTTGCTGTGCAATCTCTTTCTTTGTTATGCCTTGCCTGTGCTCCCCCTCACTATATCCCCTCCATTATATTCTCTCCTCATCCTCCTGTCCATCCTTCCTCCTTATGATCTTCCACTCGCGAAGCGGCGGCCTGAGCTTCTTCCTCTTCCCCGTCCATTGCCGGGGGGTGGGCGTCCGGGACCGAATGCTCTCCAGGACCGGGAAATTCCAGATGTGGAGTGGTTCGGGACCGCGGAGCGGAAAGCGGAGCACATCGCCCCCCCCGTCTACAGAGCGGAGTTGCGACGGAGTGGAAAGCGGAGCACATCGCACCTCCCCCCCCGTCCCCCACAGAGCGGAGCTGCGACAGAGCGGAAAGCGGAGCACATCGCACCCCCCCCCCCCACCCACACACACACACACACAGAGCGGAGCTGCGATGGAGCGGAAAGCGGAGCATCCCCACACACACACACACACACACACACACACACACACACACACACACACACACACACAGTTTGTGGTAGAGGTTTGGATATGTTCACCCAACGGGAGAGAGATTTCTTCGGATTCTGCAGCATGGCACGAACTGGAAGCTGCACTCTGCTCCAAGGACGACTGGGCGCTGCGGCGCTGACCACCCAGCCCTCCAGGCCAGAGCCTTGTTCGACGTGCTGTCCGTCCGCCCGTCCGCATGCGAGCTATATATATATATATATATATATCAGGATGACCTTACGGCCGGTGCCACCGACCCTGAAGGGGGACGACGACGACGACGAGGGCGGCGGCGGCGGCGGTGGCGATGACGACGCAAGACGCTCTGGAGCCCTTCTTGGGGCTCTCTTCGGGGCCGAGCTGTGCTCGACGTGGTGTGCGCCCGCCCGTCCGCACGCGAGCCACATCTGCTTCTGCGCAGATGGCACAGTCCAAGCGCATAGAAAGGATGCGGCAGGTTGGCGTCGTGTCGACCGGCGGCGACCCCGCCGCCTGCGTTCAACCTTGAACGCCGCCGGCGGTCGATGCTGAACGATCTGACGTTTCGGAAGCGGTTGATCGTTCAAGGTCCAACGATTCCCGCGGTGTCGGGAACCAACGCCTGGGTCGACACAACACGAACCTATTGTGAGCGAGTTTCCAGTTTATACCCTGGTATCCTTGTCCCTTCGGCCCATCCTTGGCCACTTTCGTTGGCCGCCCCCTTCGAAGACGCCAGCATGGCCCTCCGAGGCCCTTGCGTCATTACCGCGCATCCTTATGATGATGCACCTTGACTGTATACCTGTCTGTGCGCAGATGGTACTCGTAGGCCTGACCATGCGGTGGCGCCTAACAGTCGGGCGATCGCAAACATGGATCAAGGGGGCGTGGATTAGCGACGGGTCCCGCTTCCATGGGAAGGCGCGGATTTCCGCCGCCGAGCGAGGCGGCACCGGCCGCATTTTGGAGAGGGCACCTCCCCGGATCCATGGATGTGGCGACCGCGCGACAAAGCCATGGATCGCCACTCCATGCCTGCGCGCCCCCGAAGCAGGACCCCGCCGCCGGCCTGGCGCCCCGGGCCGCCCCCGAGGGCGGCGCGGCCAGCTCCTCGGTGGGCGGCGGCTCGGCTCTCTCCCCGGGCAGCGCCGATGGGGGGCCACCACCGGCAGCCCTGATCGGCACCCAAACGCCAGTTGTGCGAACCTTATCAATGAGTTGTGGTTCGAGTGTCTTGGGTTGCCAACCTGTTGAAGTCCGCCCGAACGTCGTTTCTGGATGGGCCTGTGGAGATACGCGAAACATTGAGAATCGTGGAGCCGTGTGCGAGCCTCCGCCTGGATTCACCTTGAGCCTCGGAGCCGCGCGCCCATAGGGAAAAAATCCGGTCGGTCGCCCCCGCCATCACAGAGCGGCGATTACAAAGGGTGTGGTTTCGCCAGGGTGTGGTTTGCGATCGGCACCGTTGGGGCCTGGGGGGCACGACACTGTCCTCGTCGGGCCTCCTCGGGGCGCGGGAGAACACTATCGAGGTCCCCGCGCGCCCCCTAGGGTGCCCCCCAGGATGTTCCACAGGGTGACGGTTGCAAACCACACCCTTTGGAGTCGCCGACTTGAGACGGGGGTCTATGCAAGCGGGGGTCAGCCAGAGCGCCAGATCCTGCATCAAGCAGTGGCGAAACGTCCTGGCTCGCCTAAAGGCCCACCAGAGAATGTTCTAAAAACATGTTGGGGTCTGCACGACGAATTCTTAGAACATTTCTGGCGGGATTATGTTCGAAGGGCATTGTTCTTGTTATAAGAAAATTTCTGGGTTCTAAGAACATTCCGTGGTAGGCCTGGCCTATAGGAGTGCCAGGACGGTCGCTCCCTGCTCAACTGCAGGGCCAGGGTTGCATTGACCCGGGTCAGCTGATCCCCGACACCACCAAGGGGCTGTAGCCGGCTGGAGGTCCAAGGTGGCCCAGCGCGGTTCCGGCGAGCGGGGAGGGGGGAAGGGGGTCGAGGTTTTGGGTTCGAGTAGGTGTTTTGCCTCTGTCGGCCTCCGGGGGGCCGTTTTCGGGAACCAGGCCCGTCACAAACAGATCCAGTGTGATAAACTACGCCAGATGGGCGACGAGAAAAAACCGGTCAGATTGCGCCGACATTGGCGCGTAAGCTCCCCGCGTAAGGTCGCGCGTAAGCAAGCGCCTTCGTCTCCACTGTGATTTGCCGTGCTGGTGGCTCGCGTAAGCCTTCGCGTAAGGTCGCTACGCGCAAGACCCATCATCCCCATCTCCCTGACCCATCCAGCTCAGACAGGCTGGCCGCCTCCAACCAGGGGGGGTCGCCGGCTCCTCTCCCCCAGGAGGGAAAGAAGACAGACACAAATAGTTGTCGTCGATTTCTGTGAAAATATGGAAAATTGTTGGGAAAGCCCGGGAAGACGAACATCCATAACATCTGTACCCATCGGTCGTTGAAAGTAGGTTTTTGTTTGGATTCCCAGAACCCACTCTACTTCAAACGTTTCCCTGCTTCAATAATCGATATGTTTTTTGCTGAGTTTGGTTACTCTCAGGGCGAGCCCGAACTCAATCTAATGTATCCGCCTTCCTACTTCATGTTTCTACCTACTTCTTCCGACCGATGGGTAACAACACATGGGATCCCTGAGATTTGTGCATCTGTGTTTCTGTCCCTCTGGGCCCCTGCACTCCCGGGGATCGGGGCTTCCTCAGATCCGCGCGGCGCGAGCCGAAAATAGTGGCGGCCAGGTCTCTCGTCGCTCTTCGGCCCCTGGAAAGGCCGTCCCCCAGCCCCAGGGCCGTCCAAAGCGTCGGGCGTTGCGTAACGGGGAGGCGATGGACGGGGGGCTGAAGGAGCAGGGTGCGTTTCGATCCGATCGATCCGAGCCGAGGTAGATTTCGGCAGGCTCGATCCGATTCGATCCCGATGTTTGCATGGCGCTGTTGTGCATCGTGGGGCAGCCGATCCGACTCGATTTCGATTCCGTGCCGATGTGGCTCGGTCAGACTTGCATGCCAACTCGATCCGATGTGTCGATTCGATGCTGGCTGCTCTTGAGAAAGGTGCACCTTTTGTACCCAAAAGGGGCCCTACAGGGGCCCCGTTGGGGCCCGACAGGAGCGCGAAAGGTTCATGTTCCCCCCCCATTTATCGCTCCCCATGGAGCAACGCCCGGACACGACTGAGGATGAAAATCCTGCCCCTTGGCGTGAGGCTTCCCAATCGAATATTTCTTTTGTCTTTTGAGGCACTTTCCAAAGGATGTTCTGAGGTCTTCCAATAGAAGCTCTTGTTGGTTCGTTCGGAAGGATTCCTATTGTGAGGCAGGATGGCGGAGTGTAGAAGAGGAGGGACGCAGAGTGAAGAAGGAGGTGGGCCGTGAGGTATCCTCGCCCCCTGAAAAATTGAGCAGACGTTCGCAATCGGAGATTTTGCTGTACGGCCTCACACTAAGAATCCGTTGGAAAGCGCCCCGAAGGGTTTCATTCTTAAAGCTTCACACAAGGGATCTGTTGGAAAGCACCACATAGGGATTCTAGCCGACGGCCTCACAACAGCAATCCTGTGGAACGCACCACCAAGGGATTCTCTTGGAAGGCCTCACAACAAGAATCCGCTGGAAAACACCACAAAGGGATCCGATCGGAAAGCCTCACAGAAAGGGATCTTGTGGAAAGCGCTGCAACGGGTTTCGACAGGAAGGCCTTACGACAGGAATCCATTGGAAGGCACCACAAAGGGATTATAGTAGAAAGCCTCACTAGGAATCCTTTGCGGGGGGGCTCACACAGAGATTCCTGATGAAGGCATTGGAGTACCAAAGCCAACGAAACAGCCAACGAAATCAAAGACATAACCCAGAAAGCCCACAAGACACGAAGGCCCAGGCACACGACTTACTCCACCTCTCCTCTCCCACCAGCCCCTCACCCCTCTTCCCCCGCTCCTCCATCCCACTCCTCCCCCACTCCACTCCTTCATCCTACTCCTCATCCATCCCACTCTTCCTCCTCTTCCCCTTCCACGGAGCAGGGCAGGGAAGCGAGGAGGAGGGAGGGGGAGGAGGAGGAGGAGGAGGAGAAAGGAGGAGGACGGGGTGAGGGGTGAGGGGCAGGGGGGGAGGAGGAGGAGGAGGAGGAGGAGGAGGAGGAGGAGGAGGAGGAGGAGGAGGAGGAGGAGGAGCAGGAGCAGGAGCAGGCGGAGGAGGAGGAGGAGGGGTGGATTAAAGTGTTTGTTTGTTGCTGGTGCGTGTTACTCATATGTGTTTGGTATGTCTTGGTTCTGCCTTGGAAGTCATTGTTCTTGTTGGTTATCCTTCGGTTTTTTTCGGTTTCCCAGCGCGTTCAAAAGGGATCTCTGAGCGAGCCCCCCGCAAAGGATTCCTTCTGCGAGGTTTTCCCTTCGAATCCCTTTGTTGTGCTTTTCAACGGATTCCTGTTGTGAGGCCTTCCAGTAGAATCCCTTTTGTGGTGCTTTCGAACAGATCCTTTTCGTGAGGCGTTCCACTCGAATCCCTTTGTCTTTGTGGTACCTTCCAAGGGATTCCTGTTGTAAGGCCTTCCTGTCGAAACCCGTTGCAGCGCTTTCCACAAGATCCCTTTCTGTGAGGCTTTCCGATCGGATCCCTTTGTGGTGTTTTCCAGCGGATTCTTGTTGTGAGGTCTTCCAAGAGAATCCCTTGGTGGTGCGTTCCAAAGGATTCCTGTTGTGAGGCCGTCCACTAGAATCCCTGTGTGGTGCTTTCCAGCAAATCCCTTTTGTGAGGCTTCGCAATAGACCCGTTTTGGGCGCTGTCCAAGGGAATCCTACCGTCAGGCATTACAACATAATCTCCGATTGCGAGCGTCTGCTCATTTTTCAGGGGGCGGGGGTACCTCACGGCCCATAGATGGGCCGTGGGGTATCCCCGCACCCTTGAAAAATTGAGTGGGCGGCGTCTATTGTCAACACTCATATTATTAGCATCCTTCTCCACTCTGCCTTCCTCCTCTTCTACACAATTCGCAGTCCTGCCTCGCAGTAGGAACCCTGTGGAAAGAACCACAACGGGATTTTATTGGAAGGTCTCACAAGAGGAATCCTCTGGAAACGCCACAGATAAAGAATTCCATTACAAAGCCTCACAGCAGGATTCCTTTGGAAAGCCTCATATCAGGAATCCATGTTGGGAAGAACCACGAAGCGATTCTACTGGAAAGCCTCACGCAACTAATCTGTTTGAAAGCGCCACAACGCGATTCGGATGAGCTGTGTGCACTCTCTCCCTCTCTCTTTCTTGTTTTGTTCTCTCTCTCTCTCTCACACACTCACCCCTGCATAAGTCTTGACATGTGATTAGTTGCTTTTGTTGTTTCCTATGTTTGTTTTGGGTGCTCCAAACATCTGTCTTTGATTTCTTTGTTTGCGTTGCTTTCCAACGGATCTTGCAGTTTTTCAGCCCCCAGCTGCAGGATCACGGAGACGAGGAGGAGCAGGAGGAGCACGAGGAAACATCGCGCGAGATCAAATGAGGTGGAGCAGAAGCAGTTTTGCTTCTCCAGGGGAGAAGGACGAAGAGGAGGAAGATGAGGCAGGAGAGGGGAAAGAGGAAGAATGGCTTTAAACTGGCTCAAGACGGCTCCGCACGGGAGTCCCATGCCAAAGAAGTGCAACGCCAGAGAAGGTGCCGAGGGCCGAGGAGATGTTGGGTTGTTTTGAGTTTGGGGGGGCGGCGGTTCTGTGTAGCTTCTGTAGGGCCCCGAGGGCGAGGGAGATTTTGGACGCGTTTGGGTGCTCAGGGAGGGTCTGGGTGGCTCCTGCGGGGTCCCGAGTGGTTGTCATCCTCGGGGAGGTGGCGACCCGCCTAGTGGTGACCCCCTTGCCCCGTTGGAAGTGCCACATTTCTCGGGCTCATTCCGAGTCTCGGATGCAACCTCCGGGAAGTTGATTTTGGCATTGGCGCTAATAGATTCCAAGTTTCCCACATGGGATCCAGAGAGGTTGGGTCGGATGATCATGCAGCATCGCCAATTGCATCGGTGATGCGGCTCGCTGTGGAGCCTGATTTCCTCCACGCCGACGGCGCTGTTGCATCACCGATGCATCGCCGATGCATCAGCTCCCCCAGGTTCCTTTCGGCTTCGGTTACATCTCTCGGGAGTATCACAACGCGGCGCAGTGGCCACACCTTCGGGTGGGTCAGAAGGGATTCGGGGCAATTAAGCGCTCGGTTTTGGTACTTGAGGGTTAGGGATTCGGGGCAAGTAAGCGCTCGGGGTAGGGGGAGGGTAAACCCCTCCCCGAAGGGGAAGAAGGGGCTGTGGAAGAGGGAAGAGGAATCTCGTTAGACCACCTGTCGCCCAGAGGGCTGGTGGGATTAAGCGCTCGGTTGTGGGACTTGAGTCGTTTCCCGAGGATGTCTCGGGCGACTGGGACCTCCAGTGTCCCCATGCCACGCGGCGACGAACCCTGCGTTGAGGCCTTTCGGGATTTCGAAGTCACCGCACGGTCTGCCACCAGACGGTCTCGGGACTGTAGTGTCAGATGTGGCGTTGGCGCTAGTACACTCGTGGTCGAAAGCCCGCATAATCCCTATCCCGTCGAATCATGGGTTCAGTCTTTTTCGATCTGGCCTGATGGCCACCAGAGTGGGCTTCACAGCCTTCAATCATTCCCACGAAGACCTCCCAGGTAATGTCCTCCTGACCCCACCGTGCCGCCTCGGGGCTTCCTCCGTGAAGGAGAGGCGTCCTGGGGGAAACGGGCCCTGGAGGTCTGTGCCAGTTTTTCTGGCCTCTGGGGCCCTCCACGGGCCCCGGGGCTGTCCAGAAACAGCTCGGGCCCCGCCAGGGCCCGCTTCCCGCAGGACCGCTCTTCATGAGAAGGTTTCCAGCGAGCGGGGGTAAGCCGGCGTTCCTGCTCCTCCCTGTGCTGGCGCTGCTCGCGGGCGGCGCTCGGCGGCGCGTCGGAAGCATCCGGGCGCGCGCGCGCGGGCAGGCCACGGACGGCGCACGCCCCTCCCCTCCCCTCCCTCTTTTGCTTTCCTCCCCGCCTTGCTCTTGCCGCTCGCCCTGCTCTTGATCCAGGCTCTCCTTCCCTCCACATTCCGTCCTCTCCTTCCCCCCCTTGCCGCCCTCTCCCCGCCTCCCCCTCTGCCCATCCACCGGTGCAGCCACGACGCTGAAACAAGGGCCACCATGGACTCAGGAGGGGCTCCCGTTTCCAGATCCGCTCCCTGGGTTTGCGTCGTGGAGCCTGTTCGTTGCCGAGGCTCGCCATGGCCAGGGAAGCCCCTTCGCTCCTTGTTTGGCGCTCTTCATGGTAGCATGGTGGCTGTACTCCGGTGACTGTTTCAAGTGGTGTTTGGCGGTAAGCTGGATTATCGGACCCGCCTGCCACACCGGATAACTTGACCTCGTAGGTCACGCAGGTCCGAAGGGGGTACGCAGTATTGGTGCGCGTGGGCATACGTGGGGCTAACCAAAACGACTAGGCTAGGTTGTCGGCCGTCACCTCCATCCTTACAGAGTTACACGGGCCATCGCCGAAACATAAGAAACGTGCGTTTGCCCTCTCGGCCCCCCTGGAGCATCACATATTGTTAATGACAACCAATGGCCGTACAAAAGACGTGTAATGTTTCATCCCCACACGGTTTTTAGTGACACCACATGCTGTTGTTTTGACCACACGTGTTGTACGACAACCTGCGGCCCTACAAAATGTGTGTCGGCCACACGCAGAGGGAATATGGGGGAGGGGATAAGGCTTCTTAGAAGCGCCCCTGCTTCTCAGAAGGCGCGGGCCTTATCTGAAGATGCAAGGCCGGCGCCTTCTAAGAAGCAGCCCCCTCCTAAGAAGTCTTCCCCATTCCCCCTACCCCCCTCTGCGCGCGGCCAAGTGTGAGGCACCATCGCCGAAACATGCGACAACGGCGTCCTGCCCTCGGCTCCCCCTCGACTCAGGAGGGAAAAACACACACACAGACAACATTAACCATCGATTCCCCGGAAGATATGGGGAACTATGGGAAGCGGGGGGGGAAGACAACAAAAACCAGAACATTTGGGAAAATATGGGGAATCCTGGGATTTGTGTGTGTGTGTGTCTATTTGTGTGTCCCTGGGCCCCTTGATCGACAGCCTCGACGTCCCCGACGGCCTGATGGGCTGGCGCCTCACGGCAGGTGCGGGGCCTGCCCCTCGCTGTCCTCGACGTCCTCGACTTTCGTCCATCGAGGCTGTCGATCTCCTCGACACCCTCGTCCCTTGACGTCCTCGATCTGCTCGACATCCTCGATCTGCTCGATTTGCCCAGACGTGCCAGGCTGCCGTTCGCCATCGAACCCAGGGAGATGACCTCAGAGTTTGAAGTTCTGGATGGGAGTCATGCTGGGCCCGCGGTGCAACGAAAATCTGGGTCGGAAGTCTCGCACACCAAGAGCATTTTATTTTGATGCAAAAATGGGCGAATCAAGGGCCACGACGACGGCGACGCAGACGGCCCTCCTGACGTCCCTAAGGGCTCCCCTACAGACCTGACCCCCCAGACATGTCCCATCGATATCCTTAAGTCGGGCCTGTTTCTCTTCAGGGAGGATATCCAAAAATCATCCAGAAATGCTCTCATCGAAAATCGACCTCTAGAGGGACATTCCCCATGTCCTCAACTCTCAGCACTCGCCCCGCGAGCACCCAGGCGGGCAGCCGCGCACCGGCGCACGCCGAGCGGGCGCCGGGGAGGGCGGGCGCAGGGAGGCGAGGGCGGCGGCAGCAGCAGGGTTGTCCTCTCGCGTCGTGGTGTGCCAGCCGACCGGAGCCGTGATTATCAGGGAGAATGTCGAGCGCCAAGGAAGCACCGAACCTGCAGGCGTTTCACGCATCGGGCCCTGGGGGGCGACACTCGTTCCACGTTGTTTCGATACTTTTCTGGGAGCTCGAAATGATTCCTGGGATGTGGTCCTTTAGTACGATGGGAGCAACATAACTCTTGCAGACGTGTTCCCTAGGCATCGGGGAACACACGATGACATCAACTGCCAGCCTGGGACAAATCCCTACCCCTGTGATTGGCATCGCATCATTTCAATACCGATCTTCATGATTTGCTTAGTTTTCCAGGGCGCATCCCTAAGATTGACATCGGGGGGTGGCAGGGGGAGGGGGGAGGGTTTCCGCGGGCCTTATCTATAAATGTAGGGCCGGCGCCTTCCAAAGAGCGGCCTCCTAAGAAGCCTTCCCTTCATTCCATCCCTTCGTGCGCCGCCAAAAACAATGAATGACATAAACATACAAACTCGGAGGTTCCTCGCGGATGTCTTGTATGGTATATCGATGTCTCTTCAGGGGAGCTTTGGGCGGCGACATTGAAATCAACTCTTCCTGCACCTAGACAGCCTTTGGACCGCATTTGGCCATTTCTCCTGCTCCTACTCGCCATCCCTTCCTGTTCGTCCACCGCCTCGTTCTTCTCGTCCCGCGAAGCCGGTCCACATCGTGTACACATGTGTTCCAGACTTTGTCCCATATCGGACAGCGCCGGGGGGCCACGTAGACTGCCGTGGAACATAAACCAAACTAGGCTCAGCGCTGGTTTAGATTCGTGGTGCGCTGCTGGCACGGCCCTCTTGTGGGGCCTCTTTGGCAAAAGACTGCGGAGGTGGAAAGTGCTTGTACATGCCGAGGATAAGAGGAGGGCTGAAGTTCTAGAGAGAGGGGAGTGGAGTCGTGACACGCTGTGCGATCATGTTCTGTCCGCCATTGTCACGCACACGGACGTCTGAGCACAGTTTGCATGTTCAATAGATGTATGAAACTAGTCGCCAGAGAGTGGGAGGGCTAGAAAGAGAAACATATATTAGATAACGATAAAGGTTGTAGGATAGAGAGAGAAGGAGAGAGGGAGATAGAAAGAGAGAGAGAGAGAAACAAAAAGGGACAGAGAGAGGGATAACGAAAACACAGAAGCAGAGCGAAAGAGCGATCTCATCAGGAACAAAAATTGGTATATCTTCCCCCGTGCTTCTGCGGGGGATGGTGTGGGGTGCAGGGGTGCGCGGCGCCCAGGTGGTTGTGTGTTCCACGTCTGGGCCATTCGGGGCACAGGGTTGACCGAGGGGGGTCGGTCTTTCGAAGGTCCCCGCCTCGGCCTTGCTGGGCCCCCCCCAGCCATGTTATTCCGGTCCCTCAAAATCGTGCCTTTGTTTCGCGTGTTCGGTCCTTCCGAATGAGGTTCCCGCTGCAGCGCGGGTCACACTTCCGCTTTCTCGATCTTTCCAGATGGTGTTCCTGCTGCAGCTTTAGCTTACTCTCCGCGATCTTCCGAATGGTATTGCCAATGCAGCACTAACTCATCTCCAAGTTGTCGGTCCTCTAGCATGGTTTTCCGCCTGCACCGTTCAGACAGCCATTGCTCGCAGTTCAAAGCTAAGCAAAGTACCGCTATGACGCGATTATACGTTTTGCTCTGCAACGTCGTGGTATGCAACGCTGCGCTACGCGCAGTGCCATGCCTTGCAATGGCATGCCATGCAATGCTATGGGATGCACCGCTGTGCGATGCCATGCCTCACGCTGTAATGCGATGATGTGCGATGATATGCAATGATTCTACGCATCGCGAACAATTTCGGGATCGTTTTCCGCTTGCAACATCCTACTTAATTGAGAGGGGCTCTACGCTATGGTAAGCAATGAGAGTAGGGGTGCGACGTCAGGTATGACGGCAGCGTGCCCAAGTGCCTTTCCCTCTCTTCTCTCTCCCCCCCTCCCCCGTGGGGTTTGGTGTGGTTGGGGGCGTGTCTCGCATCGTGGGGCCGGTCACTTGGGGGCCCTTCCCCTGTCGCCCATTCTTCGCCCGGTCCGTGGCGGGGGGCGGGTATTGTGCCGTTTGCGTGGTGCCCACGGGGCAGTCTTCGGTTGGGTGTCTGAGTGGCTCCCCGCGGTGGGTTGAGGCTCGTCGACGTCATCCGAGGCGCACGAGGCGTTCGCTTGCGCGGCATGGATGGATAGCCAAGCGCGGGGTCCCCAGTCCATTGTCGGCGCCCGCGGTGCGCACAAACACACACACACACACACCAAACACACACTCACACACACGCACACGCACAGACACACACACGCACACGCACACGCACACGCACACGCACACGCACACGCACACCCACGCGCACGCGCGCACACACACGCACACGCACACGCACACGCACACGCACACGCACACGCACACGCACACGCACACGCACACGCACACGCACACGCACACGCACACGCACACGCACACGCACACGCACACGCACACGCACACGCACACGCACGCGCACGCGCACGCGCACGCGCACGCGCACGCGCACGCGCACGCGCACGCACACCCACACGCACACGCACACGCACACGCACACGCACACGCACAAACACACGCACAAACACACGCACACGCACACACGCACAAACACACGCACACGCACACACGCACACACGCACACACGCACACACGCACACACGCACACACTCACGCGCACACGCACACACGCACACACGTACACACAGACACACAGACACACAGACACACACACACATATATATATATATACATATATATATAATGTAGAGAGAGAGAGAGAGAGGAAAGGAACACACACACATATACATATATATACACACACACACACACACACGCGCACACACACACACACACATACCGGGGGACGTGGTCGGGGGGGTCCCGCCCAGGGACCTCGGCAGGGCATGGGGGACCTGGGGCCTTTCTTCCCCAGAGTTTTTTACAGGGTTTCGGCCACCCGGAGCCACCAGAGCCCTCGGGGGACGTGGCGGGGGGGGTCCCGCCCAGGGACTTCGGGGGCCCGGGGCCTTACTTTCTTTTATTTTTTCAATGTTTCGGCCACCTGGAGTCACCAGAGCCCCGGGGTGTGTGGCCGGGGGTGTCCCGCCCAGGGACCTCGGCGGCGCATGGGGGGCCTATGTTCTATGTGTGTTTTACAAGGTTTCGCCGGCCCGGAGCCACCAGAGCCTCAAGAGGTTGCAGGGAACTCCAGGGGCTGCTCCCGCCTGGTGCCCCAGGTCTCCCACAGGCCTCCCAAAGGCCTCAAGGAGAGCTCCCCAAAGCTCACACACTTGGTTTTCCCACAGTTTTTGTCCACGTCTCTCTCCATGCAGCCTCTTGTGCCCCCCCTTCGGTGCGGCAGTCCCGAAGGACGCCCAAACCGTCCCGCTTCGGCCCCAGACGCTCCCAACCTTGTCCCCAGATGGCTCCGCATGGGAGGATCGGCGCGCCCAAGCAGGGTCACAGAGCGGCCTGGTGCGCTCCAAGATCCGTGCGACGCCGACGATCACCCCAAATCAGCCCCCTGAGCAACTTCGTCGACACGTCATGCTTCCAAGAGGCCTCCCTGGAGGGCTCTCTGAGGCCTTACTTCAGGGAGCCAGAGACGAGGTAACAGCAGACGGGGTAACAGGAAACGGCCGGTTCGAGGCATCAAATGGCCCTTTTGTTGCAGTGCAGTTTTTGCTTTGCTGTCGTGTTCGATGCAGTACCTTTCACACGCTGGCTGCGTTGCACATTTTCGGCCGCTGCACTGCAACTTTTTGTTTTGGGCCCTCTGTTGCCCGGTATGTGGGTTTGTTTGCAGCTTCTGTCCGCCATTCGTTCTCAACAGATTGCAGTGCAGTTTTTCTTGCGTTGCAGAACACGCAGTGCATTTGTTTAGTTCTGGTCGTTGCAGTTTCCCCACCTGGATCCCATGGTGGGCCTGTTACCCCGTGTTGGCGTTACCCGGTTTAGTGCTCCCTGATTACTTTCTGTTTGTCCAAGGTTATACATATATATATATATATATATATATATAAAAAAAAAAACGTTTTCATTCATCCAGCTTCATCCCCACGCTGCGCGGCAGCCCAAGAGGACGGCCAGACCGATGTGTTTTGGGCCCTTGGGGCTCCCAGCCGTGATCCAAAACGGTTCCGCATGGGAGTGCCGGCGCTCCCAAGTAGGCTCCACGAGCCACCAGAGTCGCCCCCGGGCCTGCCCGACGCCGGCGATCGCAGACAGACCCCCGAGCGATTTCGACGACACGGCATGCTTCCAAGAGGCCTCCCCGGATGTCCCTCCGAGGTCTTACTATTTGTTTCATTTCCCATTGCCACGTTGTCAGTCATCCAGCTTGTTCTGCATCCCCACGGCGCACGGCAGCCTGAAGCCGTGCCGGAGGGGCTGCTACCGGGTGTTCAAGGTTGAACGCAGCCGATATTGAACGTTCTGCGCTATTGAAGTACCGCGATCGTTCAAGGTTGAGCGTTGGAGTACCGCGATCGCTCAAGGTTGAACGATCCACGCGGTGTCAGAAACCAACGCGCAAGTCGAGACGACACGAATTTTGCAACGCGCAATCTCGTCCTTCTCTGTCCCCCCCCTCCCAGAGAAAACATGTTTGTGTGGCCCGTTGGGTGTTTGTGTGGCCCGGTGGTTGTTTGTATGGCTAGGGGTGCTCCGAACCATGTGAATCCTCTACTGTTGCAGAGGGGTTGTATGGCCGTTAAACAATGGACGACGAGCTTCTCAGGACATCTGATGATCATCGTGGGGGGCGGAAGATCCCCTGGCGGGACTGAGTAGCTCTTTGCGGGGACTTAAGAGCTTCTCGGGCCTCTGGGTAGCGTTTTGCGGCCTTTGAGGACTTCCGAAGAGTTTATTGGGACATTTGTCGAGCTCGC